TAGTTCATTGAAGCTTGAGAAGTACTATATATTGTAATGATGCTGCTTCCTAATATTATATATATATATATATATATTGTCAACATTTTCTTTTACATCTTCCAAATCTAGAAGAATATTCAACAAAAATGAATTACAACTCCTACTTTTCTTTAGATTATTCTTTACTTCCTCATCAAACTCCCGATCATAGTGTTCTTTCTGTCACCCAAATTGATTTCAAAGCTTTATGTATATATGCATATGTATATATATAGATTGTAAGACTGTTCCAAGTTTGTCCTTTATATTCGGATTGAGTTTAAGTTTTAGTACAATTCACCCTAAATTCACCTCGTTTATATACATATATATACTTTTTTAGATTATTTTTTAAAAAATATGTAAATATGGTGCATTATTTTATTTTTTTATAAAAAAATTAAACGTTTAAAATAAATAAAAAATATCGAAATCAAATTATAAAAAATTAAATTAAATTATAACATTATCAAATTTAAATAATTATTTTAAAACTTTATATTCTAATAAAATACATCAAATTAATTACGATTTCTTAATATAAAGTATAATATTGTTAATAGTGAAATATGTATTTAAAATTAAATATAAGTGTGTGTGTGTATACATATATACATATATATATATACACACACTTCATATATCTTTGCACCAACTTTTAAGTCACAACTCGTTTGATTCAAATTTGTGAAGAAAACACAAACCGGAACAACATTTTCCTCTAATTGACATTATATTTATACATAAAATCGTTACAATAGCACTTTCACATAATATATTTTGACTTAGATTACAAATATATATATATATATATATATACCTAAATACCAAATTGGTATATGTATTATTTCTAAATACATACATACACATGTATTTATATCATACATGCACCAGCTAACAAAGGGTAATGCATATGTTAATTAATGGAAACAAGTTTAAAAATCTTTAAATAATTGCTCTATGCTGCATACAGTGTATAATTTTAAGTATAGATATTATTTCATATAAGTAAAATTATACCTTAATTTTCAGTAATATATATATATATATGTATATATAACATGAAAGAAATGTGAGGAATATACTTGGTATGTTCTTCATAAAATATATATACATATAGCTTATATAGTAATATCTGGTTGAAATTAATTTTCCAAAATTTTCTGTAGGTAATCAACCATGGCAAAATTTGTATTATATACTGAAAGTTATTAATTTATAATATTTATATTTAATTTATTACTGTGTTAATAGAACTAAAAAACATATTATGTAATAATTAAATTTTTTTAATTGAAATAATTATAACGGATTACAAATTTTAACATAGTATTTTTCTACTAAAATATGAATCCAAACCACTATGGGAAACCCATTTCCGAACATGTGTATATAAATTGTATCTATATGCAAAAAACAAGGTTCTCAAAATTCAGGATTGTTTACAGAGCAATAAAATTCAACTCTGTACCACATTTTTCTTCCAATTTGAAGACTTGCATTCTTCAATCTGGTTCTGAAACGCCTTTTAGACTGTTCTCCTTTGGTATTTCCAACCAAACAGAGAACCAATTCTGATCCCATTGCTCGAACACAGCAAGATAAATCGCCATTTTCCATCACCAAATTCTAAAGGATGCTTTCAAGCTTGTACACAATTGGATATATCCTTGAATCAACTGCAAACATTCATATCGTGCTGTAAAACATCTTGAATGTGGATTAAGATGCTCAATGGAAGTATCACAACATAAGATTTTTCCATGGTGCAATCTTCTTTTTGCTCCCATGTCTTAGCATGTGAACTGGATGTGTCACCTCCAAATTCATTAGGCTGGGGAGTCTTATAATTACATCAGGAACCTCCTGGTCCCGAATCATTATGCAAATCCTCGTTCATCCTAGGATCACCTTTTGACCGTAATAGCTCTTTGCACCAACCTTATCAATGTTTGTACACCTTCAGATATGAGAGGCCGAAATTCAGGTTCCAGCTACGAGGGGAAAGAATCACAAAGTTCAATATGGGTAATGTCCAAAAAGACTAATAAGATAGATATATAACCAAAATATTGGCAAAATGAGGTGAGAATTTCAGTCAGAAGAAGGTAGGGGAAATTTTTGAACTCAGCAATTAGCAATCAGATATCAAATATCAAGAAGTTTAGCAAATATCAAGCAAGCTATTCATATATAAAAAAATGGCATGTCATGATTCACTGCATTGTTTAAGCAGAATACAGAGTGAAGCCATCAGTGTAGAAAATCAAAGGAGTTTTCTGATCTTACACCACTAATATAACCAGCAAAACACATTTACTAGGAAAAATTTATATTTGTACATGAGAACCTTGTATTATAGCAATAAGCTGGATATCTTATCAAACAAAATTGAAGTCTAACCATATATATGTATACACACACACACACACACACACATGGGAAACTCAAAGAGACTCTTTATGTTCTTCATATGTCCAAAAGTAAATTATATAAAATTGCTCTCTACTTTTTTGTATTATCTTAAAGCAGGACTTATACCATTTTTCTCCTAATTTCCAGACTTGCAGTCTTCAATTTGGTTTCAAAATGTCTTTTTTTGGGCTGTTCCTCACTATTTCCAACCAAACATAGAACCAATTCTGAACCCTTTACTCAAATACAGCAGGATAACAACATCTTCCATCAACAGCAGAAACCCTAAAAGTAAATGGATCCGTCAAAACACGCGATCAAAACATATTGAAAGTTGAACCAAGCATGTATTCTCTTCTCAATCATGAACTGGAAGGTAAAATCATTTTGTAAAACCCTAAGCCATCGACAGCCATGTATCATAAAGCCACAATAAAAAATAAAAATATAAAACCCAATTTTTCCAACCAGCTATCTCAGAGAAAGTCCCGAAAAAAAGTAATTCTCTATAAATGCCTTGAAACTACTAATTACAAAACAAAGCACTACTTACCAGTCACCGATCGTCAAAATATTGAATCGAAGGAATATCTTGTAACCAAAAGGGAGTGCAATAATCTTGTAAATCAACGGAACCAATCAACAGTGTTGAAAGGGCGTGAAATTTTAAATCGATGCGTTCTGATGAAATTCCAAAGAGATTCTCAATTAGTAAATAAAAAAAAAAGTATTTACAAATTGCTTGAACGTATTACCAAAAAGAAGCACTCACCAGTCACCGACGGTCAAACAAAATAATTGAAGGAATATTCATCTCCCAAAATTTGGAACTCTAGAACAATCTTGAAAGAAAATCAACAGCAGTTGATTGGATCCGAAATAGCATGCAACCTTGACTCGATGCGTTCTCTGATGAAATTGAGCTTTCTCTGCATCCTTAGAAGTTGCTCGGGGCCAAGATCGGGCCTCTGAAGATTGTGAAGAGTTTCAGTCAAGAGGCGTTCCCAATCGCCAATGCTTTCGCCTGAATCGGCCTTTCTCTTTGGAAGAACGAAGAGTACTTGTTCGGAATCAGCCTTTCTCTTCCCACCCGCCATGATTCTTTGCTCCAAAGTTTTACTAATTGCTTTATGGTTTAAATAGACTGCTTCCGCGCTCAAACGTAACCGACTTTATTAATAATAATTATATTGTGAAATTTATTAAGTAAGATCGCTATAAAAGAATAACATTCACACACATATTCTTGCGAGAATCACTGTCTTGAAGCAACAAATTTTAAGATATCTATCGCACGTCATGATCGTAGGTCGATTTCTTTGAATCGGAATTCATCTTGTTCGTCGAAAAGATATTATTTTTTTAATTATTAAAATGATCAAGATTAAAACTACCATCGCTGTCAAATAAGTTTGCTTCTTTTAATAGAAAAAAACGAACAGTCTTGATAATTGTAGAGATGTTTATGGAGTCAAATGGGTGAAAATAAAACAAATTAACAAAATAAACTTAGAAAAACATCGACTTTCTCGGATTAAACAGTAAAATTTCTCAATTCTTCATTTGTTTGTATCACTTGTGACAAACAACCATACATTCACATGAATGTTGATCCTTTCCCGTATTGGTGCATTTACAGTTCTTGGGCATACTTCCTGCGCCTTTAGTTCTCAAGAAATCAACCAGGCACTGATGGCTTCCGTCGGTCTCGCATGGTCCTGGAATATTGTTCTCTGTTTCTGGACAATGTGGTGGATCTCCTAATTTTTTTAAATAAAATAATTAAAATTATTACGTCATAATTTTCAAAGTATTTAAATATAATTTTAAATAATAAAAAAAAAAACATATGTACGTGAGAATTGATGACATAGATTTTGACGTTACCTCGAGCAAGGTTGAGCAGAGTTGAGAAGACGAGACAGGAAAGCAGAAGCAGCACCATTGCTGACCTCATGGTTTTATACTCTCTGAATATTGTTGGTGTGTGATGTATATAATATGGTGACGACTCACCGCATATATGTGTGCAAGTATATATAGTTGACAACCGTGGATGAATATTTAATGCGTATAATATATATATATATGCATAAATATCAGATATGATATGCTAAATATACAAATATGGAAGTGTATTTATAAAAATTAATGAATATTATTATACCACTGTGTATGGTATGCTCTTAATATTATTATACCCCCCAAGACTCTTTTAATTTAGAAATTCAGAATTTGATTTGATACTCTCTCGATTTAGAAATTCATAATTTGATTTGATACCCATTTATTTGATTCAAACAAAATATTTTTTACATTTATTTCGTGTTAAAAAATATTATTTTTAA